ACCAACGTTTCAGAGGTCATACTGCCTCCATCATCAGGGCGATGAAGATTTCTGTCTTCCGGGTTGTTGCGCTGTGTAGTCTGGTCGATGTTAACCAACGTTTCAGAGGTCATACTGCCTCCGTCATCAGGGCGACAACCCAGAAGACAGAAATCTTCATAATAAGCTTGTCATCAGAATAAACAACGAGCGATGTGGGTTGGGCATGTAGCACGCAAAGCGAAAGGAAACATGTTTAACACGTGTTAATCTGAATGCCTGAAGGGAATAGACCACTTATGGAACCTGCATGTAAAACGAAGAATAATGTTAATGTGGTTGTTGAAGACAGTGTACGTCGACTGGATTAACGTTTGGGTCCAGTGGCTGGTTCTTGTGGACACGGTAGTGAACTATCGGCTCCATAAATGGCTCGAGGGTTAGGATTTCTTAATCGGATGCTGGATATTTGCTTACTAAGGGCACATCTACACGGACTTGGACAGCGTACTAGTCTTCACTGTTGGTTACGTCTTTCAACAAAAGATGTGTAATAAACTAGTTTAAAGTGTAGGCCTATATACAGGTACATGAAGACTCAAAAAGATACTTCTAAAACTTCAATGTACTCCGTACAGAAGTGCACCCTGAGACTCCAGCTTCTGAAATTTGTATTCTGGTTTGCATGAGTAGAGATATAAAAGTCAGATACTACTGTAACTTTTGTTTTATATATGATCTGAAACGCCGTGTCCTTTCTGGCAGAAATCGCTGATATAACCGTCTGAATAAGACCCAAAACAGAGAAGACTGCGATTCAACCGGCTTCATGCATCATTTATATAAACGCGATACGCGAGATATGAATGCCGAACTTTCTGAATCCGAGACGTGCACGCTGTACACTCGGAAAGCCATTATCCTTGAAGCAAGAGTACGTCGTTAAACAAAATGGCTGCTAACCCACTCCATAGGGAGACGGAGGGAAATGTCAGGGGTCACACAGACCAAGGGGGAAGTGCTGGCACAGTGGAACACTTTTTAACGCTGGCTTCATATTTCGCCCGCGGGAGGGTGATGAAACAGACGGCGTAGAGGCCGGGGAATGACCGCAGGGCTGACAACCTTACGTCGTAAAACTTTTGTGTTACGGAACTTCTACAGGGATGTCGGGAAAATGAACATTATTTGAAGTGACCTGGACAACGTTTTAACAGATGGTAGTTGGTGCTCGGAATGCTAGTTTTAAGTGACTGAGAGTCCAAACTGAGATATGGTTAAAGATTGCTGTCTTCTGGGTTGTTGCGTCTTGTAGTGTGGGTACAATTTTAACGACGTAGGCAGGAAGGACCTCTGAAACGTCGGTAAACTTCTACCAGACTACACGGCGCAACAACCCAGAAATCAGCCATCTTCGGACTCATAGCCGTAAAAACCTCAGATCCTACTCGGTTGATCTTTGTAATGGTGAAGTGCAGTGTTTTCTTCGCGGTACGGACTGAATTATATTAAATGTTACTTAGACGAGCTTCGGCTTCAAAGGGTCACACTCGCGTTTGACATTTGTTCAGGACACAAAGAACACGTCTCGCGAAAAAGATGGCTGTCTTCTGGGTCTTTGTCCTGATGATGGAAGCAGTAACCACCTCTGAAGCATCGGTAAACTTCTACCAGACTACACTCTGCTACAACCCAGAAGACATCCATCTTCGGACACACCGCCGTGAAGACCCCAAATCCTACATGCGATATGGATGCTGCTGAAATACGCGCAACGAGAGGAACTACCACGGAGAAGGATACACTGCAATGGGCCTCACATGTGGTTGGGGATGGAGGAAACACAACATGTAAACAAAATTTATGTGAGAATATCCTGGCAGATGCCCACATAAAAACACCGAGAAGACAGCAGGGTAACACTGAGATGGATTTTAGAAACACACGAATTGTTTATGGGGTTGGATTTCACTGGCGAGCTTCTATATTACCAGTGTTGGAACCTCTGGTTCTCTTATGGCCGAGTCCGGGCCCATTATACCTCTAATAAAATGAGTACTTGGATACTCCTTCCCTGGGGTTAAAGCGGCCGGAAATTGTAGCTGATCAATTACCACAATCTAGTGTCGAGTTGTAAAATGTACGAAAACTTCTACATCCAGAATGCATTCTTCTCAATTACTCGTGTTTTGCAACCAGGACGTTAAGAAGTTTCAGAATATTATATATAACTGAGAGATTTATTACACAATATATTTTAAAGACCCAGGATTGGTTAATTTGGTAATGGAAGGAACAGTTGAAGGGAGAAATTTTAGGGGGAGACAAAGATTGGAATATGTAACGCAGATTGTTGAGGATGTGGAAATGAAGAGATTGGCGCAAGATAGGCGAAACTGGAGGACCACATCAAACCAGTCGAAAGACTGACGACAAACAAACAAACATATTTTAAAGGGTGGGAGTCAACTCATATTTTATAAATTCAAAGCCATCAGGATGACTGTAATTTGGGGCGTGGGGGCATAAAAGGTGCAGATATAAATTATGTACAGATGTAATAAGTTTTATGAATTCATAACACGTGCACACGAAAATTGCAGGGAGAATTTTCATTTTTATTCCTGCTTTTAGCACTAAGATAAGAACTGGCTAGAACGGGGATTATGAAAACATGGTTCTGAGGAGAAAACTTACATCTAAGTGAGAGAACTTCTTGATTAGCCGATCGTCTATTGGCTTCTCAAGGACTCTGTTTCTCGAAATTCGTTTCTTTTTTAAATTAAGTCATCTAAGACGTGACTAGAGTACGGACAACGCTGTTATTTTTGGGGGACGAAAGATCACGTCTGTCACAGATGTTTAATATTCCCAGAAGGCGAAATATTCTGCACGCCCTTCAGTAATACTGTCACGAAACCATTCAGAAAGTTTGGACTCAAAGATAAAACATTCCCAAATGAATATAATTATAACGACCTGGGTGTAACTTACGAATTTATCATAAATATTTATAAGTCATTTAATGATAAATACCCCGAGTCGTGGTTTAAAATGTTTAATGTTTTGAATAATGGGTTGAATAAAACACAATATAAATTCATTGGATCACCGACCAGAAGAACGGATTTTAATATTTTCACAAATTAATAGTCCTTCATATAATTAAAAAATTCTTACCTTTTATAAAACCCGAAAGTTCATAAACACGCGTTTCCAATAACCTGATACTGGATCCTGGCCTGAGCTAGTTAAATCCAATCTACACACTCAATTATGTATTATCCTCACATCACAGATTAGTTCTTTCGAATTGTCTGTTTCCCCTCACGATTCTCGACTTAAAAGGCATAAACACTCTAACACTGAACTATTCAAATACGAGGCGCGTCCACAAAGTAAGTTTCCCACTCGTCCCACAGCTATCAAACCTTATATTCCGCGAAGCGACTGTGCGTACGTGATAGAGCAATGACGTAGCATGGCGCATGCACTAACGGTACTTCCCGCGTTCTCACAGTAGCATCGTTGCAGCTGTTGAAGATGGAGGTTCTTATTCCAGCTCCCGCCGACTGTGAAGTGCGGTCAGTGATAACGCTAGGCCGCACACGGCTCGACGGACAGCAAGTCTCCTGCAGGAGTTCAGCTGGGAGGTGTTTAATCATTCACCCTACAGCCCGGACCTCGCTCCCAGTGATTTCCATCTTTTCCTACACCTCAAGAAATTCCTGTCCGGTCAGCGTCAGCGTCAGCGTTTTGAGAATGACAGAGAGGCGGAGATGGTTGTCACACAGTGGTTCCAATCCCAGGCGGCAGACTTCTACGACACAGGTATTAAAAGTTGGTCCCACGGTATCAAGGGTGAAGTTTGTGACTTCTTAGGTTCGAGAGCCCACAGGGAGATTCTTTCGGACCTCATGTCTTACATATATAGCTCATTTACATTTTCTTCATCGTCTTCCAGACTATGGCTGCGTGACAACGCAGAAACAGAAACGATCATGTGAGAGCATGCGCAGACATCTATTTGCCCGAAGTTTAAATCGCTTAAACATCTGCACAGGCACGCCTCCGTCGTAGGCTACTAGTCGGGAAACCAACCTGAATAAGGTCATGTGCTCTGATAAATGCATAAATAAATAAATATATACCTACGTAAATACATGCATATAAGCAGCCTTTCACAACAGTTTCAACACTTCCACTTATTATATCTCTCTTTCCGGATGCAAGAGTGAGTCAAAGACGCTGAGCCCGCGAGACGTCGCTAGAGTGGCGAGACACGGACTGAAAGAAACCGTGACACAGCGCGAGCAGGTTACATGCTGAGAAGCTGCTCCAAGTTCAAGTTGCATCACATGATACGCACAATAAGCCCTCATCACCCAGTAAGGTATATTACTGAAGGTTCACATACGGTTCCGAATTCTAAGTGCTAGATCGTGTTCACAACACTAAGAATTTTCCGTCACCGGTTAATTCTGCACAAGTCGTTTAGAGCAGTGGTATTCAACCTTATCTTTCGCGTACCCCCAGATATAACTTCTCTTCAACTCTGTACCCCCCAAAGTTGTTGGTGTATAATTCGTGTTATACATAGTATATAATCTACATCCAAAATAAATTAAATAAATTACATTACTGATTATTCAGTGTTTATCATAAAATAATATATATTTTTTTTAAATTTCACGTACCCCCTAAGATGTCTTCGCGTACCCCCAGATATAATTTCTCTTCAACTTTGTACCCCCAAAGTTGTTGGTGTATAATTCAAGTTATACATAGTATATAATCTACATCTAAAATAAATTAAATAAATTACATTACTGATTATTCAGTGTTTATCATAAAATAATATTTTTTTTTTAAATTTCACGTACCCCCTAAGATGTGTTCGCGTACCCCCGGGGGTACGCGTGCCCCAGGTTTATTACCACTGGTTTAGAGAGTGCAAGCTTCTCATCTGAATTTAGCAGCAAATGCTACATAAAAACCCCACCGTCCTCCTCACAGTATGGTGTTGCATCCCACCCACAGACGGGCACCGTAGCCTCTAAAAACACGACTCTTCCCTTGTCCTATGTTATTCCCAATAAATTCTCGGCTTTTGCACTTCGGAAAATATTATGTCCTACCTGAGACATTCTACTCATCCGACAAGTGACAGACGCTTTATCCTACATCGCCCGTCACCCACTTCTTTGTAATCTCCTTTACTCCTGTCTTCAAGTTCCGTATAATCTCCGACCGACTCCATGGTTACAGCAGGGTTCAAATGACCTTACTCTACGTCACATATCCGGCGCTTATGCCTACATGCCAGGTCACCCGGTTCTAATCGAAATTCCCTGCCAAGCCTCCCACACAAAAAAGACACGGAAGTCTGTTTAGTGCTGGATACCTGGTATCACAGGCCTGAACGAAAACATGACCGCCAGGCTAATGTAAATAATACACATGGCTTCATGGCAATTTTCTGTTCTGCAAGCCTCTAGGGCAAACGGCCAACCGAGACTGTGTTGTTGGAAAATTGTTCGTGAAAACGGATGGATTTGTGGATGGATGTTCGGTTGTAGAAGCCACATCTGAGGACCTGTTTGGAGTGTCGGCTTTTCCCAGCTATCGCACACCTCACAAGTGATTGTGCATTAACATGTCGCATTGGTGGAATGCAAAACAGTTGAATTCGGCGTAAAAGGTACGCAGTGAAACTTTCCTTCAACAGAATCTTAAACACAAATGAACACAACAGAAAACCTAGTACCTGCGCTGGGTGACACTTTGCGAACGGCGTCTGTCGAAATGAAATGGCCCACATTATTAAGGGACGGAGAATATTTTGAGAACGGAAATAGCAGACAACTCCGTCCGCTTGTCTCCCCAGCCATCTTTAACCTGCAGTATTTGCGCGAAAAATACCGCAAGTTTCTCTGCATTTCTTAAACACGGAAAACAGACTAAATATGCATGTACGAGGTGCGATCAGAAAGTTTCAAGACTGCGCCTATAAAAACCCGTACACTTATCTCAGGTATTAAATTCATACATCACCCTCGAAGTAGTTCCCCTGGGAGTGAACTCAACGATCCCAGCGCCGCTGCCAAGCCTGGAAGCATCCCTGGAAATCTTTCTTTGTCAGCCTGTCAAGCACCATCTGCGATTCTGCCTGAATCTCTTCTATCGTCTCAAATCTCCTTCCCTTTAGCCGAATTTTCATCTTTGGGAAGAGGAAACCTTAGAAAGGAAGTTGGGGTCGGTTCTTGCAAGATCTTTCAGCTCCTGACAAACGAGAAGTCGATTCTGCTTCTGGTCCTCAGACAGGATGCGTCGCATGTGGAGTTCATCCTTTAGAATCAGCTGACAGGTCCCATAGCCTATCCCAAAAATGTCGCACAAGTCGTTGATGGTAAGACGTCGATCTTCGTGAATGGCCTGCCGAATCTTCGTAACATTTTCGAGCGTTGTGCTCGAAGATGGTCGTCCAGAACGCTCGTCATCATCGACAGAGGTTCGGCCATTTTTAAAACGTGAATGCCACACAAAAGTTTGTGCACGACCCATTGCGGACTCCCCAAATGCTTGCTTTAGCATTTCACAGGTTTCCGTAGCCGTTTTGGCGAGGCTTTGGCAAAATTTGATGCACACGCCATTCCGAAATCGCAGGAGGGTCGGTGTAATGCACTACCAAAACGCCCGTAACTAAGAAACAAATGCTAATTCGATGATGCCGGCTGGCACACTGATTCACTATGAATGTAGGCCGCACACCCTAGCGGCAGAAGCTCGTACTACATCCGGTTCGACCTCTATTGACACAGTCTTGAAACTTTCTGATCGCACCTCGTATGTATGATTATCGGATCTCGATTATAGTTTATCAAGTGAAGTTCTATGAAGCAATGCATACGAAGTCAAGCTGGCACGGTTGTATTTTTCAGTTCCCTGGGCTATACATCGCCTATTATTGTTCATAAAATGTCAATAGTCATGAGTTACGACGCAACAGTTATGACCGTTGAACCAGGGCTCAAGCACTGTGACCATGTTATTTTATTTATCCCGAAATTTATAATAACAAGTAACTGCAGTATTTTCATATATCCATCACAACACAGAATTTATAAAAATTATTCTCATTATACGCAGTAACAACAGCTAGTACTGTTTACAGCTATCAAGATCGTACGGCCGCCATGTTGGTGTTGACAGCAGTGTATTAAAAATAGCGAATATTGGAACGCTTGTAAAGGAGTCACAGTTGACTGCCGTGTGAATGTAGACGGGCCCCGTTAGTTTATAAATGCGGACAATGTATTAAAACTTTGACCCAATTTTCTGATAAAGCCACTAACTCATCGCAAACAGGTCCACATACTCAATTTTCATTAACGAAATCAATTCCTAAATATCTGATCCACTATCGCTTTGAGTACTTTTCAGTATCAGGTTTAATTTCTGGTACTACATTTAACAAGCGTTTCTGTAAGTTTTTATCGGTAAACACGCGTCCTAATTATTGATTTGATGTTCTTCATTTCATTACACAACTTCTGACAGCAACGGTTTCTGCCAGTCAATGTTGATGTTACCAAGGTCTGTTTTATTATTTATCTTTTAAACGTATGTTAAAATAAAACTATACAAGTAGGCTATGTAAGGTTTATATTTATAACATGCCAACTTATTAATTTAAAATATAAAGTTACATTGATTCGTCAGGTATCGACAAATAAATTAAACTACTTCGCCTGTCACCAACTCAGTTTTCAATTTCCCTAAAACAATTCGCCTTCTTTCACATATTTTCACACACATAACATAAAACATACTTCAATCGCTATTTTAATATTATCTAATTCACATATGTGCCATTGAAATATTTTTCTTCACTTACATAATTCTTATTCATGGACAGAACACGTACTGCGTACTGAGGAGAAACTAAATGAATAAAAATATAACTGAGGAAACCTGAAATAATTCTCTCCTTCCCCTTCGGAAATGAATGCAAATGAAAAATTCTAACACCCTTAATCACATATCCAATAAGGACAAAAATCCCTTAGCAGCAAACGTTCACCATCCAACCAATGAACCTAATCTACAGTCACCTATTTGAATTAAAATTTTAATAGACTGCGATGCGTTCGTGAGATTTCAACATGAAGATGGCAGTCTTCTGGGTTGTTGCGCCGTGTATTCTGGTAGAAATTTACCGACGTTTAAATGGTGCTTGATGCCTCCATCATCAGGGCGAGGGATGGATTCAGAGTACACGAAGAAACAACCGTCCACAATACCCTATATCTTGGACACCCCTTTATCCTGGAACTTGAACACCCCTTTTGTTGTAAGTTGGACAGGTTCGTGTACTATTTCGATGCTTTTCAGGGAAACTTTTTCAGTTACATATTTTGTTATTTTGAATTTCTGACTGATGAATGCCTCCTCTCTGGGAGATTATCTTATGAACACTGAACCCATCATTGGAATGCACTGCATTCTTTTGCTCAACCCTTAACTGGACTACAGTATTGCAGAATACACAGTTTTAACTCCGTCAGTACTGTGCTTGCGTTTGAGTTCAGACTGTTAACAGAAATGGAATTATCTTTTTGTGATGGGGAAGCGAAAATTGGTGTAATTAACTTTAGAAAATGTTACTGAGGCTGGGGAGTAATGTGCAATGCATGGGAGTGGGCTTAAAAAGATTATTATTAATACTATTGTCAGATATTACAAAATCTACGCAGTTTGTTACCATCGGTTAATTATGTACAGGAATTTATTCGAATTTCTCGATAAACTTTTCTGAATCGTGTAGAATTTAATAGCGACTATCTTTTATTTATCTTCAGGAGACGAGTGGTGCCATCTTTCTTTAAATAAAACAGTCCAGGGCTACCAACAGCGGAGAATGAAATGGAGCAAGCAACGAGCCACTTCCGCGGCTGTCATGTTAAGTCGACTAAGGATTCAAAAAAAGAAAAATAACTCTCTTCAAACCTCCCATGGCTGTGCTCGATATAGATTACATCACTTTGAAGCCGATTCTTATGGTCTATATATATATATATATTTTTTTTTTCGGAGTGACATTGACAGTGAAAGGAAACCTGCCTTGCTATCTCTTGATATTTCAAGCTAATTATTCATAGCTTCTACCGACTTGCTGGATTACTTACGATGTAAACATAAAATAAAGAAATTATCGTCTCATAAGACGGTTTATAATCGTGTACATTTGGATCACAGAATACACGAGCAAGGTCCTTAATGTAAATTACGCTATCATAAGGTCTTTTTTGTGTATGAAGTGCTAAAGGAGGGGAAGACGAAAAACAAAGGAGGTTGTTTCATGTCAAATCCAGAGCAGAAAACGATCATAATTCCACAAAGCCGAGTGTGGAACAGAATCCTGTGTCAGGTTTACAGCTAAATGAAGAGTCTGTATCAAGGCCTTTAAATCTGTAGTTGATAAGAGCGCAGTTAAACAGCGTACTACGAAGCAGAGGCGCTTTTGTTGTCACTAGATTTGCGAGATGTGCCGTATATTTAAACACCGATGGCATCTGTTAACCTGAACACGTTTATCCAGAACAGTTTTGCTTTAACTTTCAAAACATGTTTAAGCAATGAAAATAAAGTTGATTTATTTTAATTATCACCACGTCGAACCAGCGACGCTTCGTCAAAACATACTTACCGGAAAGAAATACAACCACTGCCCCGCGCTGACCAACTTTTGCGTTCAGTTCATAAAATTAGTTCACAGTATGGATATAATAACTATATGACACCGACACAGGGCCATTAAGTCGTGTGTCGTGTAAACGGAATTAGTATTTTAACGTCGTCTGTCCGAAGGCCGGCTTGATCCAATCCGTAAAATCAGTGTTCTCCAAACTAACGTAGACCGGACGTCGTGGTTGAATGGTTAGCACTCCTGCTTCGTGTTAGAGGGTATCTGGAGACAGGCTATGCTGACTGAGGTTTTCCGTGGTTTTACCCAGTGTGTCGAGACAAATACAGAGATTTTATATTAAAATAGGCCACGACATCTTCCTTTCCAATTCATTATTCACAATAATCCTCACATTCGATTTACTGATTCTAAAACGATAAATAATTAATACCTGATCGCGGTTTAATTTATAATTTTTCTCAAGCATTAATTAATTATATTAACAGAATTTTAGAATAGAATTGTTTTAGTATACAACTAGAAATTTTTTCACTTTTAATTTCCTTATTATTATTGAGTGTTCTGTCTTACGACAGGTCCATTGCTCTGCCCAAAAAGAGCTCTCCAGTTTTCCCTATTCTCGGCTTCTCGTTTTAAGCGAATAAATACCTTCTAGTGAAGACTATTACTGACTTTCATCTTTCTCTTCTGATGGTATTACCAGCCGAGTGAGTACTGAGGACGAGGACGTTACACTCGCTGCTAGCGTCAGCCGTGCCTGTTGAAAACAGAACTACTCCAATTCGTGACTTTGAGCTCGCATATTAATGCCTTAAAGACTTGCAGAAATTTAGAAAAATATATCCTCACGGCAATCACAAATGGCACAAAGTCAATACAAAATTTCATGAAAAATTATTATACAATTATTTAAACACCAATAAAATATCCGTCCATAACGATGCGCGCAGATACACATCACTGCTTTAATTAATACGCGTGAATTTGAATTTTATATTATTTATTTAGTGTTCTGTCTGAGGACAGGTCCATATGAACAGGATCCTTCCATCCTTTTCTCGGACTGGGACCTGTTCATATACGTTCTTGGCAGATGATCCAGAAGTGGTTTGCCATTGCCTTCTTCTGTGTGTGAATGGGATGCCACGGAGAAACCGGGGAAGCCCCCGGAGGAAAACTCCGTGTTGCCTAGACCACGGCCTTGCCCAACACAAGTTATAAATTCGGGCACCGCCGGAGATCGAACCCGAGACCCCAGGATTACAAGGCCAGCGTTCTAACCGCTAGACCCGTGATTAATTTGAAGTACGCTCTACTCTAACTGCTTCTGTTGATTAAATAGCGGAAGACGATCACTTGTTAAGCAATGCCTAAAACGCTCATATGTCGGAGTCACCATATTTACGCTGCGTCGCAATGTAATTGACAGTTTTCGTGCTTAAACAAACTTCAAGTGGCGACTGTTGTAAAATCAAATACATCAGAAACAAATGAACACCGTAGCTCAGCACCAGATATGGTCACTTTAGAACGCTGGCCTTGTAATCCTGGGGTCTCGGGTTCGATTCCCGGCGGTGCCCGAATTTATAACTTGTGTTGGGCAAGGCCGTGGTCTAAGCAACACGGAGTTTTCCTCCGGGGGCTTCCCCGGTTTCTCCGTGGCATCCCAACAATTACTCCATTCACACACAGAAGAAGGCAATGGCAAACCACTTCTGGATCATCTGCCAAGAACGTATATGAACAGGTCCCAGTCCGAGAAAAGGATGGAAGGATCCTGTTCATATGGACCTGTCGTCAGACAGAACACTAAATAAAAAAATAATAATAACACAACCGTAAATTTCGCCATCGTGTGATACAGGACGTTGCATAACATGCAATATGAATTTATTCTACACTGGTAATGCAGGCATTAAAACGATTTATTTGGGACTAACGTGGCTATAAGTGGATTTCCAAAAAAATGCCAAATATGTCGAATCGTGCGAACGATTTATTTGGGACTAACGTGGCTGTAAGTGGATTTCCAAAAAATGCCAAATATGTCGAATCGTGCATATTAGCAGCTGTTGAAGAATTCTTCCCAGAGAAAATTAAACATCTCAGTTAGCAGCTAGTATGACGAAACGGTGGAACGCGCTGCTATATTATGACAGAAGAAGGTTTAGGGGCAGAAGGCCAATAAGTGAAGGGAAAACGTTGGCATTTACGTTCAATGAATAATGACCCGAGTCGACTGGAATGTAAATAATATTTAGATTGGAGTCTGCAAGTAAGTATTGCAATGAAACCTGGTTTAAAAATAGTTCTTTGATTTCCACAGTTGCTCTATCGGTCTTTTATCTTTTCTTTTAATTCGCTTTTACGTTTCATTACATAATTTGTCTCTCTTTACGGTCTGTGCTTCTGGTAACGTCGAAATCCACGCGGATCGAACTTCTGTAGGTCAACACAGACACTCTCGAAAATTACTGTGTCGAAGTATATTGAGACTAAATTCGCAAGATGGCCGACAAATTCAAAGATCCCAGGCCTAAATATTCTTCAGTCTGAGTAACTGCTAGCAGTGATACTTTGCACATGCGCAGTTCATATACACGTTCAGAGAGCACTTGCCATGAAACATACGTATTTGCACTGGGGAAAAGTTAATGTGGTGTTAGCAAAGCATCTTACAACTCCGACATATGCATCCCTTCCTAATATATATCTAGAAACATGAGGATGTAAGACAATTTTGTGGTCACAAGGAATGTTCTGTGAAGAAATAATACTCGTTTACAAGCAGTTAAAGTTTTATTACGAGAAATTTAGCATATCAGATACTAGAAGTGTTCACAGTGCAGGGAAATTCGACAGATCTTTACACTTCTTTATTACCCAAAACCTTACATGCATTCATACAAACACACACACAAAAACCCAACATTTAGATTTTAAATACAAGATACCAGCAATACAATATGGAAAGTTTTGACATGTTCAGAAAATTATTGTTGCAATTATTGTTTCTTATTTAGTTTTGTTAGACATATTTATTTAGTAACTACAAACACGCTAAAGGTTTTCTGTACCGCCTAGAGTTATGAAGACACGTTCTTGCTATTTACGAAAACAAAAAATTTAGCGTGACTCGAAACTCAGAACCCCTTGATCCTCATTGAGACCTACGCGCAAGACAACGATGTACGAGAAGTTGCCGCTATAGCACGGGGAATGTCGATATAGTTTATCGTAACGTTCCCCATTCTTAAGGGAAGTGTTTACATCTGGACACAAATGCTGCCACTTGTATCGACACAAATTAAGCAACTTACATCTATGCACGAGATATTTGTCTTTTCTATAAATACTTAAAAAAAAAATTCGGGAGTTCCACAATAAAACGTCATCTGACGAAGAAATGTTCACATTTTAAAGCACAGTAGTTGTCAATAGTTATTTCAAAAATAGCCGGAATAACGTTTAGAAGTCCACAAAATGACACGAACCGACCAGACCAAAAGTCTAAGTCAAGTGGTTAGCATTCCTGTTTCATATTCATTGGATACCAACGTTTCGTACAAATAAACTGTCTCCATCTTCAGGGCTGGAGGTAACCCCATATATGGAGACAGCATATTTCACAAATTATTAATAATACGGGCTTCCTCTGCATTCTTAGCGTACTTTTATCGCGTTCAGGAAACAAAGCAGAATTTGGGCCATATTCTAATAGTACTTTGTGTGTGGAAACAAAATCCCAGAGGTACTGCACTAACGGAGGGCACGTGACACGCAACTCTGGGCCACTGGGCGCGTCGAGGGAGGAACTCGAGGTTTCCTCACTGACTTTCCATATTTTACATGGCATCTCTGCGTTCTGCTTTTTTGCATTGCACTCCTATATGGAAATTAAATAACAAATTATAATAATGCAATGTAAGGTTTATTGAAGAACAAATATATTCACAAAATTGTCTATCAGTTTTGCAGTACGTGACATTCGATTACTCCTAATGTCACAATTAGGTTCGATGTTTTACGTACGTTAACGGGCAAGTGAAAATCACGCGATAAAATATACGTATCTGATATTACAAGAATATTACATTCCGAGTTTCATAATTACGTACTTTTTAAATTAAGTAATCTTAGGCAGATGGCTGTATTCTGGATTGTAACGCTTTGTAGTCTACAGACGTTTCAGAGATAAATACTGCTTCCATAATCAACAAACTTCTACCAGACTATACAGTCCAAGAACCCAGGAGACAGCCATCTTCAGACTTGTCGCCTTGAGAACCTCAAACGTCATATCAGTCCATCTGCAACTGCGACCCGGCGACAATTGCAAAGACACGAACCCGCAACCTTTCCGCCGCGTTTCTGTCGAGTTTGTAGTCGGGCGGTCTACACACGGGGTTAAAAATGAGCGTCACAGTGTTGCTAAGCAACGGAAAACGAGGCTATGGAGTCTCACAGTGCAAGACTGACACATAAACCTTCATTTCATTATGGGCCATGGGGCTCCAGAGCACGGCTAGCTTCATCCACGTGTACGAACCGAAATCAGTTTAGTAAAACAAAGGAGGAGCGACACTGCACAGCGAAATGACAGATTAGGAACGAATGAAATATTATCTTCTCTGCTCAAAATCATTTAATATGTAAATCATTCGCGAACACATTCGTAATAATTACTTTTGAGCAACGAGCAAGTTTATAATAAATATAATAATAATAATTATTATTATACAAACTTCTTATTTTTAGTTGAAATGAACAAGGGTAGAAAAGTATAGTTCAAGATGGAGTATCTTTATATTCCAGATGCCACAAATTAAACTTTGACGAGCATTTTCTATTTCGCAACCAACGGTGCGTTGAACCAAACATTACCACGAATGTTGATACAACCGATTCTCAGAACAACGCCTTCTTTATTCTGAGAACGGTTTTAAGACGTTTAACGACACTCATAAACGAGCCCAAATCACAATTCATTCGCCCCATTTGAGCTATTGTATACAATACGCCGGTTAGTTACTGGAATGATCAAGGCAGTTACAAGTTAAAATCACTTTTCCTACATTCGTACCAGTTTTCAGTAAAAATCAAATGCAATCACAGCTTAATTCATTAAAGTCCAGTGGTAACTCTAGGTACCACATGTTTTAATAATGAATAATTATGCATTTTGTACGTGAAGTGAAACATACTCTGACCACTGCCTGGTCATATCCAACATTACACCATGAACAAGATGGAGAAACGTGAAGAGAGAGGGGAAAAATACATAATTTATTTGCCAAAGGAACCAGGCATTCGGAGACCATACGAAGACATATTAAGGAAATATTTGAATGAAATAAAATGAGATACTGATATATAGTAGAAATATACTGTAGAAAGAATTCATAAAGCAGTGACCACTGCCTGGTCATATCCAACATTACACCATGAACAAGATGGAGAAACGTGAAGAGAGAGGGGAAAAATACATAATTTATTTGCCACAGGAACCAGGCATTCGGAGACCATACGAAGACACATTAAGGAATTATTTGAATAAAATAAAATGAGATACTGATATATAGTAGAAATATACTGTAGAAAGAATTCATAAAGCAGTGGGTAAAAATGAAATATGATCGTCGAACCGGTCTAAAAATTTGAAATTAAGAGGTAAAAGTAGCAAAGGAGAGTAAAAAATACATAAAAGATGTATTCAGAATAAAACAGAAGTAACCGAGAAAGATTACCATCAGAAAAGAAGACGAGCGATCATAATTGTAAAAAAAAAAAATTGTAGCCCGAGTCGTGGGAAAATTTTATTAGCATAATCGAACACGATACACGTGGAAGACAATCAACTGCGTGTTACATCATGAAACAACTTCAAAGGAAAGAAATCGAATCAGCGAGAATAAATTATATCACAGAATAAAAATGAACAGAACATTACAAAGAACTGCTGTACGATCCAACACCAAAAAAAAAATGAAGCTAGGAAAACTAGAAAAAAAAAAACTTAGATTGATTTAATGAAAATAGAAGAATTACAGGATCCTTTAAAGTAAATGTAAAAAAAAAAAAATAGAAAAGCTACTGGAACTGATAGAATTATTGCTGAATTACTAAAATATTGTGGAGAATTCATTAATGGACGCTGTAAATCTTGTTAACATTTCCAGGACGTGGTATGAAACCAATGTTACTTCAATATTTAGAAAAGAAAAGAAAAACCAAATCAATGTTGAAATTACTCAGGAATTAATTCTACTGAATACAAAGTATACACCAAATTAATAAATGCACGTCATCAGATACTTACGAAAGCCCTCTTATTAGAAGGTCAATATTGGTTTAGAAAGGGACGTTATTGCATAGATGTGTCCACCTTACGTAAAATCATTGAAAAAAGAAGGAAATTTAATATGGAAAAACATATTGGTTTCAATGATCTGGAAATGTTTAAGAAATTGAATATTCTTCCACTAGCAAGCGAAATCTTGCTCCAGGAAAACAGTAATACAGAATTAAGAAGTTATTTTGGGTGTCCAATCGGATTTCTACCAGAACCTATCAACGAATGACAGGTCGTCATCATTATTCGTAGAACGTGATTTAAGAGAATTTGAACCAAAGCCACGATATTCAGTTTTCTCGTACTCTTTGCTGGTTCCTTCGTTACTTCCATTCATTATGGAAAGCTGCCAGCTGGGGACGAACTTGTTGCTCGGGTTGCAGCCACTTTTACCCAAGGCGCTACATGATACTGCTTCATCACATAAAGCGAAACAATGACATCTGATTCTCAGCAAACGTGATTCATCTCGCGAACTACCTAACGGGTAATTAAATGAACGGAGCAGAATCACCCTTGAGAAGTCGACAGTCGCTCAGCTGGTCAACATATTTTTCCTTTTCTATGGCAACCTAAAGGTACAATTTGGCTGCACGCGACAGAGACAAGCGACCGAAGCAGGCGACAGAGTTACGAGACCGAGACTGGTCGCTACCTGTCTGCTCTCTGTACAATCGTATGAAGTACAATTACGAGCGCGAGACAAAGCACAGGCGACCGCTCTCGGACCAGTAGTGTCTCGCGACGGGCTCAGGCAGCACGTGTGTTGTTGAGTAAAATAATGGCAGAAATTAACTTTACTGGTGACCAAGATGAGCAATTGGTAGAATTAGTAGCAGAAAACCGACCACTGACCACCGACAGAAAGATCCTTCTTCGCGTCTGGTTTTGAATATTGAACTCATAGGTTTTCTTTGTTTCTTTCGCAACAAATAACACAGCAACACATCATCTTCTTCGAGTAACCTTTTTAGAAGCATTTTTGTACTCATTTTTCACAGAATATGTGCACGTATGTCTCAACAAAACAAAGGTTCCTTAGACCTCGCAAGGGCCCACCTCTGGGCGGTGTCCTCATCCAGTTATCTGTGGGTTAGTCATCGAATGTCCAACACCGAGTGCCCCCCGTCCGATTAAGAAAGAGCAGTTGCCTGTTGTCATAAGCACATGTTAAGGCTTTGACCGGGATGTTCTTTTGTTAAATCTTATGTGGTACCGCCTGATTCGACTTCTAATGGTTAATTGAAGTGTTTTCTTCGCGGTACGGTCTGGATTCGTAAATATTATGAAGACGAGCTTCGGCTTCAAAGGGTTAACCAGCTGATTTTCGTAATGGTGAGGTGTAGTGTTTTCTTCGCGGTACGGACTGAATTCATAAATAATATTCAGACGATCTTCGGCTTCAAAGGGTTTAATGCTGTCTTAATGTGGCAGTGCCTGTCGCTGCGAACTGTTCAGCTCAATTAAGAACGTCAAATTACGAAGGAGGATAGGTACTTGGAAGTATGCACCAGAAAATAAATGAGATATTAAAAGTTTACTCATTAAAACACGGTGAATCAGATATCCCAGTAACGAAAGACTTTGTTGTTTCGCAGGTCTGATTTTTAAAGCTTCCCCAGGGAAGGAAAAAGAAGACATGAGAAACGAGATAAAGGAACAGAAAGAAAATAATACGAGTAGGAGAAATGAAGGCACGAGGAATGAAGTTAATAGATGAACAGAAACAAATCGGCAAGAATAAAAAAATCATTCATAAAATGAGCGCTTCCACGTTCCGAAAGAAATTCATAACCACTTATCCTCCTATCCTCTGAGACATGTGATTTCAGCGACACGTATTTGTTTCATCTGTTCTTATCTTTGTCTGTTTTTCTGGGGGGTTTTCAACAAATTATCCATTTACTCTTTCGCTTGTCTCATTCTTCTGATCTATCTTTCTTCCTTTCTACACGTATCTTTCTTTCTTTTTTATTTAAGAATTTACAGTTTGCTGAACTTTAAGGGCGGTATCGCACTAGGATGCCAACGGGAGGCTATGGCGCAGCTGCCAGCATCTCGGCCAAACTTAATGCATTAATTTAGTAGTCATATAACGCACCTGGCATCCGTCTGGCAGCGCTTCCAACTTGGCATCGCTGCCAACCAAGATGCTAAGTTCAAATGCTACTGGCATCGCTGCCAAGGCCAAATCAACATCACGTGACAGTCTGGCCAGTCCATTGACGTCCGTGCGTGAATGTGCTTGTGTGTATTTCTGTTTCTTCCAAACATGGATAATTTCGACACCGAAAGATTGATAATTTAAATTCAGTCCCGACCATCACTATGGGATTCATCTGCTATTGAATACGCAAACCGGGACTTGAAAAAAAGAAACTGGGTAGAACTTGTGGAAATATTTGGAGGAGATTTATTTACAGTAGAAAAGAAAGAATTAGCTAAGAAGTGTTTCTATGGCTTTATTTGTGGGGCCGCTTTCCAATATGGCAACTTGATTTTTAAGTTTTTTTGTTT